ACACTCCTGACTTGTGCCTTGTAGATGGTGGACAGGCTTTGGGGAGTCAGGAGTGTGATGGAATACTCCCCACTTGCCTGGATGGGTGCAGCTCCAACAACACTCAAGAACCTTGACACCATCCAGGGCAAAGCAGCTGCTTGATTGGCACCACATCCATCACCTTCAACATTCACTTCCTTCATCTCTCACAGTGTTGGCAGTGTGTACTATCCACAAGGTGCACTGCAGAAATTCAACAAGGCAGCTTAGAAAGCACGTTCCAAATCCACGACCACTTCCATCTAGAAGGACAAAGGCAGCAGATACATGGGAACATCACCCCCTGCAAGTTCCCCTCCAAGCCACTCACCATCCTGACTTGGAAATATATCGCTGTTCCTTCACTGTCGCTGGATCAAGATCCTGGAATTCCCTCCCTAAGGGCATTGTGGGTCTACCTACAGCACATGGACTGTAGCGGTTCAAGAAGGCAGCTCACCCCCACCTTCTCAAGGAGCAACTGCGGGTGGGTGGGCAGCATTGCCCACATTTTGCGAATTCTAATATTTTTAAAACTCCAAAATGATAGTGAAAAGGTGTTAAATTTAACCACGTTGTTATTTTTGATGTTTTTACATAGTTAAGTAATGAATTAGTTGATTAGTTTAGATTGAATTTTGACAGATACTTTTGCTTAAAAAAGGAAGGAAACAGAAAACTTGTAACTCCAGGCCAATTAACTTAATGTCTGTAATTGGGAAAACATTGGGGTCTATTTGAAAGGATATAATGGCAGAGCATTTAGAAGTGAATTATATAATCGAGCAGAGTCAGCATGGCTTCATGAAAGGGATATCATACCTAACAAATTTACTAGAATTCTTTCAGGAGATAATGAGCAGGATAGATAAAGGGGAACAAGTGGATGTAATATATTTGGATTTTCAAAGGTGTTTGATACAGTATCACACATTCAGCTACTTAATAAGATAAGAGTCCATGGTATTGTAGATGATGAATTAGCATTAATAGGAGATTGTTAAAAGACACAGAGTTGAAATAAGAAGCAGCATTTTCAGGACAAGAACCTATAACTAGTAGTGTGCCACAGAGATCAGTGCTGGGGCCACTGTTATTGACAATATAGATTCACAGTTTGGATGAGGAAAATGAATGTCATATTGTCTAGTTTACAGGTGGCACAAAACTGGGTGGGATGATAAGTGATGAGGATGACACAAAGAGAGATGTAGGCAGGTGGGCAAAACCCTGGCAGATGTTGATTTCCCACCAATCAACAATGGATTCACACTCATCAGTAGATTTTTAATTCCAGATTATTACTGAATTCAAATTCCACCATCTGGCGTGGCAGTATTTGAATCCGACTCCCCAGAACATTAACTGAGTTTCTGGATTAATATTCTAGTGATAATATCACTAGGCCATTGCCCCCCCAACCCATCCATGAATCCCAAAATATCTGACATCTCAATAGAGAAGGCAAATGGAACGTTGGACATTATTTCAAAGGGAATGGAGTATAAAAATAGGGAGGTTTTACTAAAACTATGCAAGGCACTAGTCAGACCACAGCTGGAATACTGTGAACAGTTTTGGGCCCCTTATTTAAGGAAAGAAATAGTGGCTTTGGAGGTGTTGAAATAGCTGATCAAGTGTGACCTAATTGACTGGTAGAGCAGGCTCAATGGGCTGAATGGCCTTCTCCTATTCCTATTACCAATTTAGTCCAAAGGTAGATGATGACTCCAATTAATAAGCTTCTAATTGACTAAGACGGTGATGTAGTGGTCATGTCACTGGGCCTAGTAACCCAGAACTTCAGGTTAATGAGTTGGGGACTTGTGTTTGAATCCTACCATGGCAGATAATGAAACTTGAATTTAAGAAAAATCTGGGATAAAAAGGGGGAAAACTAGCCTCACGGTGGCCACTGTCTGGTATAGGCACAATGGGCCTAATGGCCTACTTAAATAACATAAGAATTCTGTCGATTGTTGTTAAATTCCAACTGGGGGAGTGATGTCCTTTAGGGAAGAAACTCTGTCATTCTTACCCAGTCTAGCCCACGCGTGACTCCAGACCCACTGCCAATGAACCCTAACTGGCCTCTGAACAGGGCCCAGCAAGCCATTTCAAATCAAAGGGCACCTCGGGACGGGCAATAAATGCTGACCCAGCCAGCGATGCCCACGCCCTATGAAGGAATGAAAAGAAAATGAACAATAAATCAAGGCTAGACCCTGATGGTGGAACTTGGGGAGCGATTTCCCAGCAAAAGCTGAGAGGAAGGTGATTTTTTTTTAAGAACGAAGCTGGACATTGTGGCCACATAATTTGACATAAAGAAATGGATATAATAATTGCTATGCCCTCAGGAGCTGGTGCAGTATAACTGACACTAAACAACCAATCATTGTTATTAAAATAAGTGTGTGTTCAGTGAATGGGTCATCCTGCAGTCTCGTCTCAACGTGTAATTTTCTTCCTGTCTTCTGCAGAATCATACAATGACGCAGCACAGCAGTTAATGATATGATGCGGAGCAAGTCGGCTTGTTTCGAAATGGCGACATAACTTGGAAGTATAGGACCTCCTCACTCTTTGCACGAGAATGTGTTCATTGATGGACATTTTGAAGAGATTAACAAAAAAAAACGCAATGTACTATAATATAAAAAGGAAACTTGCATCAGTCAAAATATTGTTTTCTTTTCACATTGTTTAACCCTTTAAGCCAACATACCAAGTTTCTGTGTATACTATACATCTATAGTATATATGAGATGTGACACATGTTATGTTACCAATCCCTTTCACCAGTCCAAAGCTGGTTTACCTCTCTCCCCCTCCCCCACCCCTGCTGCACCTTCCAACCTCCCAACCCCAATCCCCCCCCCACCGACCCCGCACCGCTTCCCTCACCCTTAAACAAACATAAACTGTATTTGTGGAATTTGACCATCATTAGCATTGCCATTCATGTGATAGACGTAATGTATAGCAAACATCAGCTGTTCATTCTAGAAAGCATTGGAAAGTTCCTTGCCTTTTAAAACTTTCTTTCAACAAAATTTCTGTACAATCAACTTTCCAGTCAATTAAACCCTGCTTATCCATAACTGTTATGAAGTGTTAATTCTGCTGTCTGAACCTGGATTTTGCTGGAATTACTGTGTTTATATAAGAAATAAACCCATGTAACAATGAGCACTCCTTGTTCTCTGTGGTTATCGACTTCTCGATAAGAGGCAAATTTGGAAACCAGCAAGGTGGATTACTGACTCGCAATCTTTGACCCAGCTACCTCTGGACTTCTTGTCACCACCCGCCAACAGGTGTACTGCATGTAAGACCCTTTTATCTAACCCAAAACAGGACTGTAAAAGACGGACCTACAGCTTTACATCAGTGAGGCTTGGGTCAAAGGTTTCCACAGCTTGATATGAAGTAATGCGACCTCCCAGCTTATCAGAGTGACATCAGCAGATCGATGATATTGTACACAACAATTTCGGGACTCCAGACTTGGTGTGGTACAGCTGGTCGGTGGCAATCTGGGTTTGCCCTTCAAATAAACCAGATTTTAACAATTCTCGATTGCTTTTGTGTCTTATTTAGTGAATGCAAGTCACAGCTTTTATTCATACAGCAGCTTTAATGTAGGAAAACACCCAAGGGCATCTTATGGGGGCGATTACCAAACAGAATTTGACACCAAACCACATTAGTAGATAGGGCAAATGAAAGGCTTTCTCAGGGACACCGTGTTAAGGAGGGCCAGCACAGAGGGGGCAGACTTCAGGAGATTGGAATCAAAGAGCTGTGATAAAACTGGAGTCAGGAGAATCAATGGTCAAACTCTCTGCTGGTCGGAGTCATACCTGACACATAGGAAGATGGTTGTGGTTGTTGGAGATCAGTCATCTCAGCTCCAGGACATCCCTACAAGAGTTCCTCAGGGTAGTGTCCTAGGCCCAACCATCTTCAGCTGCTTCATCAATGACCTTCCCTCCATCATAAGGTCAGAAGTGATTGCACAATGTTCAACTCCATTCCCGATTCCTCAAATACTGAAGCAGCCAGTGTCCAAATACAGCAAGGTCTAGACAACATCCAGGCTTGGGCTGAAAACTGGCAAGTAACATTCATGTCAAACAAATGCCACCAACAGGAGACAATCTAACCATTATCTCTTGACATTCAATATCATTACCATCACTGAATCCCCACTATCAACAAAGTAAAAACCGAAAGAACTGCAGATGCTGTAAATCAGAGACAAGGGTAGAAATTGCTGGAAAAGCTCAGCAGGTCTAGCAGCATCTGTGGGAAGAAATCAGAGTTAATGTTCGGGTCAAGTGACCCTTCCTCAGAACACCTTCCTCAGCAGTTATCTGAAAGACAAAATAACTCATCATGTTAAAGGGAAAGATGTGATTTTGTTAACACAAGGTCATGTGACTCCCTTGATTTGAATTTTCTGAGGAAGAAACAAGTACAATTGGACAGGACATACGCAGAGGTGGCGACGGCGGTGCCTGGGACATTGTCTGTAAGGTGCGGTTCTGTGAGTATGACTATCTCAGGCTGTTGCTTGACTAGTCTATGATACACTTCTCCCAATGATAGCACCAGCACCCAGATGTTAGTGAGGAGGACTATGCAGGTTGACAGGGCTGGTCATGCTGTTGTCTTCTCCAGTGTCTAGGTCAATATCAGGTTGTCCAGCTGTTTTCATTCCTTTTTTGAGACATCATAACAATTGATACAACTGAGTGGCTTACTGAAGCACAGTTGAGAGTCAACCAGATTGTTATGTCTCTGCGTCTTTATTCATTAACAGGATGAGGATCTCGCTGGCCAGGCAGCATTTATTACCCATCCCTAATTGCCCAGAGGGCAGTTAAGAGTCAACCACATTGCTGTGGGTCTGGAGTCACATGTATGCCATTAGTGAACCAGATGGGTTTTTCCCAACAGTTAGCAATGGATTCATGGTCATCATTAGATTCTTAATTCCAGATATTTTTTGAATTCAAATTCCACCATCTGCTGTGGCAGGATTCGAACCTGGGTCCCCAGAACATTATCTGAGTCTCAGGATTAAAAGTCCAGCAATAATACCACTAAGCCATCTCCTCCCCGATTCATGTGTAGGGCCTGCCCCACTGGCAGGACAAACACAGCCGTGGTAGTGGCACAGTGATGTACAGTCGGGAGGGAATTGCCATGGGAGTCCTTTACATTGAGTCTGGACCCATGAAGTCTCATGGTTTCAGGTTAAACATGGACAAGGAAACCTCCTCTGATTACCACGTACCATTCTCCCTCAGCTGATGAATCAGTACTCCTTCATGTTGAACAACACTTGGAGGAAGCACTGAGGATGGAAAGGGCACAAAATGTACTCTGGATAGGGGATTTCAATGTCCATCACCAAGAATGGCTTGGCAGCAGTATTACAGATTGAGCTGGTCGCGTCCTAAAGGACATAGCTGCTAGACTGGGTCTGCGGCAGGTGGTGAGGGAACCAACAAGAGGGAACAACAGATTCGACCTCATCCTTACCAATCTGCCAGCTGCAGTTGTATCTGTCCATGACAGTATCGGTGCGAGTGACCATCGCACAATCCTTGTGGAGACAAAGTCCCACCTTCACACTGGGAATAACCTCCATCGTGTTGTGTGGCACTATCACCGTGCTAAATGGGACAGACTTCGCACAGATCTAGCAACTCAAGACTGGGGCATCCATGAGGTGCTATGGGCCATCAACAGCATCAGCACAATCTGTAACTTCATAGCCTGTCATGTGCCCCACTCAACCATTACCATCAACCTTGGTTTGATGGAGAGCACAAGAGAGTGATAGCACTGAAGACTTGTGCTCCAGAACTTGCTGCTCAGCTGGTTAGCAGTGCCACTGGACCTGAAAGGTTAACTCTGATTCTGTCCACAGATGCTCCCAGACCTGCTGAGTTTCTCCTGCAACTTCTGTTTTTGTTTTGGATTTCCAGCGTCCACAATTTTTTTTTGGTCAGTGATGAGGAATTGGATCAGCTAGGATTATTTTCTATGGAACAGAGGAGGCTGAGGGAAGATTAACTTGACAAGTGTAAAATTGTGAGAGTCCAAGAAGAAGGAGATAGGAAAGACTGATTTCATGAATAGAGAGGTCAGGAACCAGAGAAGATCATAAATTGCAGAATTCTTTCAGCCACTCGGCCCATCATGTCCATACTAGCTCTCTGAATCAGTGCTATGACTGAATGCCAATCTCCTGTCTTCTTCCCTTTCCCTAAATGCTATTTCTATCCCAATAATCACCTAATTCCCTCTTGAGTACTTCACTTGAACAGTTCCAGGCAGTGCATTCCAAACCCTAACCATTCAATGTGTAAAAGTACGTTTCTCATCTGGTTTCTGTTTATTTTGCAAAACATTCAAAAACTGTGTCTTTTGGTTCACAGTATGTTGGTGAGTAAGAACAGCTTCTCATTATCTACTCTGTCCAGCCCGATCATGGTTTTGTAAACCTCTATAATTCTCCTGTCAGTCTTCACCTTTCCAAGAAAACAGTCCCAACTTCTTCAATCTGTCCTCATCACTGAAGTTTCTCACCCCGGAACTGTTCTTGTAAATCACTTCTGCGTTTTCTCCAATATATTCACATTCTTATTATAATGTGGCACCCATAACTGGACACATTACTCCAGCTGAGATCTAACTAGTGTCTTGTACAAGTTCAATATCACCTGCCTGCTTTTGTACTGCAAACCCCTATTAATAAAGCCTAGAACACTGTATACTTTATTATCTGCTCCCTCTACTTGTCCTTCAATAACTTATGTACATGTACACCCAGGTCTCTCCACTCCTGTACACCCTTTAGAATAGTACACTATTTTATACTGTCTCTCCATGCTCTTTGTACAAAAAAATTGTCACTTTTTAAAATTCACTAACAGGATGAGGGCATTTCTGGCTAGGCCAGCATTTATTGCCCAGAAGGCAGTTATGAGTCAACGACATTGCTGTGGGTCTGGAGTCACATCAAGCCAGACCAGGTAAGGATGGCAGTTTCCTTCCCTGAAGGATATTAGTGAACCAGGTGGGTTTTTCTTCCTACAATCAATTCATGGTCATCATTAAATTCTTAATTCCACCATCTGCCCTGGAGGGATTTGAGCCCAGGTCCCCAGCACGTTATATGGGCCTGTGAATTAACAGTCCAGTGATAATACAGGTAAGCCATCATCTCCATTCAGACTGCTTCTCATTGCACTTCACCTGTCATATGTCTGCCCACTCCACTAACTTCTCAATGTCCTTTTGGAGTTTCCACACTGTCCTCCTCACAGCTTTCAAGCTTTTCATCGCAGTTCTTTCACCGTCACTGGGTCAAAATCCTGGAATTCCCTCCCTAAGGGCATTGTGGGTCTACCTACAGCACATGGACTGTAGCAGTTCAAGAAGGCAGCTCACCCCCACCTTCTCAAGGGGGCAACTAGGGATGGGCAATAAATACTGATCCAGACAGTGACACCCATGTCCCATGAGTGAATAAAAGTACAGCACCCGGGGTGGGGGAGATTTACCAGGATGTTGCCTGGCCTGGAGAATTTCAGTGATGAAGAGAGATGGGACAGACTGGGGCTGTTTTCCTTAGAGCAGAGGAGATTGAGAGAGGATGTGATTGAGATGGATAAAATTATGAGGGACAGACCAGGTAGACAAAAAGGAACTCTTCCCCTTTGGGGAAAAGCTTTTTCCCCAGAAGGTGGTGGGAATCTGGAACTCACAGTCTGTAATGTGGAAGAGGCAGAAACCCTCATCACAATGAAGAAGTATTTAGATATGAACTTGCAATGTCAAAGCAAACAAGGCTTTGGACCAAATGCTCAAAAATAGGATTAGCATAGTTAAGTGTTTGATTTTGGCCAGCTGACTTAATGGGCCAAAGAACCTGTTTTCACTTTGTAGATCTCTATGACTCTATAACCATGAAACTATCATTAATTGTTGCAAAATCTCATCTGGTTCACTAGTACCCTTTAGGGAATGCCGTTTCTTACCTGGTCTGATCTACACGTGACTCCAGACCCACAGCAATGTTGTTGACTCTTAACTGGCCTCTGAAATGGGCGAAGTAATTCACTTAGTTCAACTGCAGTTAGGGATGTACAACAAATGCGGGTCTTCTCAGTGATATCCACTACCCATTCAAGGATAAATTTGATAAAAAGGATTTGAACGCTGGACTTGCAACAGGTTGATTCTGGGAAGAGTATAAACTACCTCAAATGGAAAATTGTGTGTAATTCTGTTCATGAAACTTTAAACAGCAAAATTCTGGTGAGACCACAGAGCAATTGATTAACATGGTATCAGGGCTCAGGGACTTCAGTGAGTTATTTATTTTCATTATAGAATATGGTTGTCACTTATTGCTCATCTCTACTATTGTGATCTCAGCTGATGTTATTATTGGACAAGTCAGACCCAAGATAGAAACCCGACTTGATGGATCATAGATAGTAGGAACTGCCGATGCTGGAGAATCTGAGATAACAAGGTGTAGAGCTGGATG